CTTTTTCTGTCCAGTCACCTCCTCTGCTTTGTGCTTCCTGCTCTTTGCTTGTCTGCTTGATCTCCTGTCTGCTTTCTGCTTCTTGCCTTATCTGCAGCTGTGCTGCCTTTCCCCTCCCTGCTTTGCCACTTATTATCGCACACAGAGGCTGCCTGTGCCACTTGTGGCATCCATGCTGCAAGTTGGCCACCCCTGGCTTAAGTAGTTCAGTGTATGTGTATGCACTGCTCTGATCTAGATGAAACCTAACATAGAATAAAGTTTGTTATTGAGAATCTGAACTGTCCTTGCTGTATAATTCTTTTGAAGTTTCTGTCACCTATGACACTTCTGGGGTATAGACAGATAACAGTATTAGTATCAAAAGATACTGATACAAACAAGCAGTTACGTCTGCATGATCCTGTAGCGCATGGGTGAGCAAAATCCAGCTTGTGGGCCAGATTGGACCTGCGATGAATTCCATTTCCCAGCTGCCCCTGCCTGTGTAGCACTGACCAGTTTCCATGGAGACCCCAGGAGCTGGCAGAGTGTGTGGCTGGGCAGGGAGCTGCTCCTGGGCTGGCGCTGGCACTGAGATCTTGGCAGTGACAGTGCAGGCCAGAGCTGGTGCACAGCCGTGATCCAGATATGCAGACAGCGAATTGTAGCTCTTCCCTGGCTCTGGCTCCAGGCTGTTGCTGCTGCATGATCCCAGCCCTGAAGCAGCTCCCTGCCCAGCTGTGTGCACTGTCAGTGCCACTGCAGTCCATTCTCTATGGGGACCCAACCAGTGCCACTACAGGCCATTCTCCATGACTCTGCAGTCATGGCCTGGCTGCTCCTAGGGTCTTCTTGGAGACCGGTTGGAGTGGTGCAGGCAGGGGACTGAAGGGAAGTGGAGTCCAGCCACCAGCCGGATCCACCATTTTTGCCCACCCCTGCTGTAGCAACATAAGTGTAGCAAAACTCATCAGAGTTAGGGTGAGTTAGCTAATTTATATTGCAGCAGGATCATGCAGATGTCATAGTAACAAAATGTATGTTTGTCCATACCCTTGATCAAATTTCTTTGGGATGTCTTTGTCATTAGTGATTGGCTTGAAACTATTCTTGAGTGACTTAAATCTTATTTTACTAATTTATAGCTTTAAAAAATACAGTTTCTGATTGAACAAATAGTCTTTGGATATTACTTAGGTCCTGTGTAAACAGATGTGAATCTATGTGTACCTTCTCCTTTAAGAAAATTTTGAATTCATGTATTTATTTGCATTCATTATGCAACTTTCCTCTCCAAAATTGTGGTGTGCATCTTAAGAGGGGGGAGCTGATTTTCAGTGCCAGAACTGAAGTGTGCAATGGCTGCTTTGGAGGTGTGATGGCTACTGGGACTGTCCTCCTTTCCCAGTCTGAGGGAGGGGGCGGAGTGCATGTTACAGTTAACTGAAATCCTCTCACAGCCGCTACTGAATTGGCAGTAGCAGCCGAAAGTTGCTGCCAATTTGGCAGCGGCTGTGAGAGGGTTAAAACGGTAGCTTTTACCTGAGCAGCAACAGTCAGGAATCAGCCATGAAGGATTCAGCTGTGGGGTCATAACTCAACCATGACTCTGGAAAATGTTTTTTTGTCTTAATTCTGCTTTTCAAAAATGAGGTGTGTGTCTTATTTGGGAGTATGCAATATGCAAGAAAATGTGGTGGTATGGTTGATCATTCTAAACAAAAGCCAAGAATAGTTTTTCTCTTCCTGCAATTTGAAGAAGAGATAATGTGACCCATTTAGTGGTTTTCTGTGGTGAACAGCTGAATGACTCCTAAATTTTGTCTCTTTAGCTACCTTGTTTCAGGAAAAATAGTCCAGCTTATTTGCCTCCCTAGTGTATCTACTTGCTTGTGTAATATGCTCTGCTGTCCTTTGTCCTAACTGTTTAAAAGAAAGGTGTCATAGAGTAGGGCTCGGCTGGATTTGGCCTACAGAACCATTGAATTTGCAAATGCGGAGTTTCAGTGGTATTTAATTGGGGGAGGGGGGGAGGCTTTTACTGCGGGTGCTCTCACTATGCCATCGCCCAGCCACCTACCTCTGACCTGGGGTGAGTCATTCCAGCACCCAGCCAAGAAAGGTTTCCTACCCCTGATAAGAGTATTTGGATATGCGTGAGGGAAGCAGGTTAGGTCTTACTTGATGGCTAAATGTAAATTGCAGGTTTGCAGAGTAGACTTTTAGGTAGATGGGAGGTTGGTAAACATAGTTTGGGGCTGGAAGTGTGAGGTCTGGACTGTATTTTTAACTGCAAAACCAGTTTTCTTCCCTTTATTTGCCATGGGTATGGCTCTTCATAAAAAGGAAAGAAGTTCTGTTTCTACTGTTTATGTATTTAGAGCAGTCTTAAAAAAGTATTCAGACATTTCTTTACACACAAACTGTGGTAGTAGCATATTTAAGATGATACAGTCACAGTCAAATATTAAACAACCTTAATTTTGTCCCCTTGCATGTATGCATTATGATACTTTTCTTAACTACGTTATCTTATACTATTAATTTTCTGTTTGTTCATGCTTGGATAGTGCTCATTGATGAGGAACCATTCCATTTTTTTGTTTTTGCTCTGGCTTTGTTTGTGTGTTGTCTTGTGTTTAATAATTTTTCCAAGCTTACTGTAAAGATTGTTCATGGAAAGAATAAAGTTTAATTCATCCTCATAGTTTATTTGTCAGAAGTGAATTGTGGGCTCTCTTGCTTTATAGTTCTTTTCCAGTTGATAGTGTGAAACTAAAAATAATGAGTTGAACCACAAATGTGATTTTAATTACATGCAGTTTTATTTGGAAGGTATATTCTTTTTATGCTAAATTGTAGGCATTCATGACTGGGGAAAAAATTCTGTAGCTTTCTGGGTTGAGCTTTGTGTTTGCTTCAGGTCTTTCTTGGAATCAGATGGTTGCCAGAAGTTTGCCTGGTTATATATATTCTCTCTTGGTAAATCCTCACCTCTGGAAGCAGTTACTGACAAGAAGGGCACAGAGCTTTAGCACATAACCATGTAGTATTTTTAAGTTGTCTATACTGTTCATAAGTAAATAAGGCTTATAGTATATTTATATGAACATTCCTCAGAAATGCTATTGTTTCACTGAAACATTATTTTAAAGAAATGGAAATTAGAGCTCCCCTCTAAAATGGAGAAAGGAAATATATTTTTCTTTTTTTAAGAAAGCCTTTGTGCTTCTTCTAAAAAGACAGACTTTACCTGTTCATGATGATGATGTATATTGCCTCTAGCTTGCCTAAGCGTGAAAAATATCCCGAATCAGGTTGTGTGTATTTTTGTTTTTATTTTTTTAACAACAAAACCTTGAAAGCTATCCAATAAAAAAAAAAAAGGTTTTGTTCAGATGTCAGGTAGATTCCCCCCTCCCCTCCAAATACAGAAGATTGATATCCAGTAGATGTTGCTGGAGTGATTGGTAAGGGATGCTTGAGGCTTCAAGTGCATGTCTGGGCCTCTGTTGCTTCTAGAAATCTCTTAAGTATACTGAATGTTCTTTGAAGAAATATTTTTTTAGGTTTAGTAGGCAATGTAGGAATCAGAAGTGAACCATATGTGTAAAAAATAATTGTATTCTTGTATCTGTAAAAAGAATTATCCAACCATAAATGTAAATTAAAATAATTTGTGTGAAACAGTTACAGGGTTTGAAATTCTCTTAATCCAGATGTACAACTTACCTCTTTTCTAAATATTTAATTGCTTTATAGCAATACTAATAAACTGTGTTGCCTGTTTTAAGAAGACATGGGCCGTGGACATACATTACTTTTGTAGTTTTATATATGCCTTTATAGCAATATAAAAAAATTAGCATGCATATATTCAGGCTTTTTGCAGCACCAAAAAAGGTGACAGATCCACTACAAAAGGGTGGAAGAGAAGAGTATTTTTGAAGTGGATAACAGAAAAATAGCAATAATTTAGAGAAGTATGATAAGTGATGATAATTCATATTTCTGGATGTTTTATTTAGTGAGCTCTGTGTGCTTTATGTATTCTTTATATATCAAAAAGATGGTATTTCTTATAATTCTCTTGCATGCTGTTTTTAAAGATTCCATTTACTTTTGAGAGGTAGGATGTGTATGAGGAGGTAGTTCTTTGACTTTATTTTAATTCTCAACCCACAATTTTTTATGACTCCTTCTTTCCTCTGTCATTTTTGGATTGGTTGATAGGAAGTATTCTGTTAATAAAACATTGAGGGTGTCTCTCTAGACTCCGGTTCCCCCAATCATGTATCGGGTAGTTTGAGTTAAAATATAATATTCTGCCATGGAATCTTAAAGCAAGGTCCTTCCTCCTTGCATTATTGTAGACATTTGTATCTTAATTTAATTTTTGATCTTTTTTTTTTCCTTTGAAAACATTCTTTCAATGCAATAGTGAAAGCGGCCAGTACACAACTGTTGGGTCCTGCTATTCATTATAAATCTAGGAAATGTTGCAGAAGTAATATACTGTTTTTGAAGAAGTGTGTGCGCAGATTTCATAATAGGAAGCATGTGTCCGTTGACATCAAATTCATTGTATATTTTCCCATATTTAAGCTGGGGGGTTTTAAACATTAAAAACATTACAAAAGCCTCTCACCTTTTATCAAAAACACTTTTTGGAAGACAAATGATTCATATGTTATTGTTCATATGCAAATAAAAAGTCTTAGTATACCTTCTCCTAGCAGTTACTTGTAGGACTATGAAGAGTTACCATATCAGATGTGTAAGTAATTTGATTTGCTATTGTAGAATTGAAAAAATTATGCTTTTATTTAGTAAACATTCATTTTTTTGTAACTTTTGCAGAGGTTAATTTGTAGATATTCATTTAATCAGTGTGATTAAAAAACCCCCAACAAACCTTGCAGTATGATTTTTAAAACAAGCCTAAACAAAACTTTGTACTATACTGAATTCTCAAGCATGCATAGTGTTAAATATATATTTTTTCCTTACTGTGTTAGCAGCCAACTTCTGTAGCCACATCTACTGTCCGGCTAGGACTGCCTGTGCAAGCTAAAGTTGTTCAGTCAACTGCTACACCAGTTAGCGTTACATCTGCTGCAACCCTGCCAGGAGGTTCTACTCTGTCACATACCACAGTAAGTATTAAAAGCATAACACTAATAAAAGTGAGTAGTAGTGATGTGCATCAGTTCATGAATGTAAGTTTTTCTAAATGAGTTTTCATGACATGTTAATAAAGTGTTTGTATTACCAACATTCTACCAGCAATGTATTACCAATGCTCTAACTAGGAGAGGTCTTATATGAAGGGCCATCTTTACTGCACTTGGAGTTACCCATATTAATACTAGCTCTGTAATGCTGAAGAGTTCAAATGTGCCACCTATATTAGAATACGTTTCCTATGAAATTAAAGGGGATTATTCAAGGAGCCAAGGTACTATTCAACATGATGGGAGGAATGAGGCAACATTTGTAATTCTAAGGAAGGTTCTTCATATTTTCCTGTTGTCTTTAGCTAGTATGCTCCATAGCAGAAGGAAATGTGAGTTTGTATTTACTGGATTTTAACTGCTTATTATTAAATAATAAGGAAGGAAGGAAATAAAGAAAGGCAGGAAATTAAAAGAAGGTAATCATCTTGGGTTTTTTTTTAGTTTTTGTTTTTTTATTTTTTTTAATGTTAACAGGTAACAGTAGCTACCACAAATGCTCAGACTTTATTTAAAACTACAGTAGCAACTGGAACCTCAGCTTCTCAACAACCTACAGTAATTTCGGGAGGGCAAACTCAAACCCCAACACAACCCCAAGGTCAGCCTCGATTACCACTCCCACCTCATACAACAGCACAAGTACCAGCACAGCCCCAGGTCATACCTAGTTCCCCTGTACCAGGGACTACAGTTGTATCACAGGTTAGTACATAAGTTCTGAGAAGTTAAATGCTTAGCAGATGACTTTAGGAAAAAACTCTCTCACTAGGAGGGTAGTAAAGCATTGGAACAGGCTACCCAGAGAGGCTTTGGAATCTCCATCCTTGGAGGTTTCTAAGACCCAGCTGGACAAAGCCTTGGCTGGGATGATCTAGTTGGGGATGGTCCTGCTTTGAGCAGGGGGCTGAACTAGATGACCTCCTAAGGTTCTTTCCAAACCTAATTGTCTATGTTCTGTGATTTTTTTCTTAGCAATATGAACACTTGTCAAATATGTTCAGTACTAGGGAGAGCATTTTTTCATGCCATTACATTTCTCCTAGTAAATAATTGCAAATAACTTCTTTTAGTGACCTCTTCACAAATATAAACTTCACTATATATATCACATCTCTCTTAATTTTTTTTTTACAGGAAATGCAAGAGAATGTGAAAAAATGCAAAAACTTTTTAGCCACCCTTATAAAACTTGCTTCCCATAATTCACCTTCTCCAGAAACATCCCGTAATGTGAAAGCTCTGGTTCAGGATTTGTTGGTAAATATTAAACCGATTGAGTCTGTTAATTCTATTTTGTGTAGACTATTTGAGGCTGCTGAAAAGTTTTAGTTAGGTTTAATACTTATCTATTGTTTCTCTGAGTAAAGCACTGCTGAAAGGTTAAAATGTTGTTTCAAAATACAATAAAATAGATGTTTCTCTTGAATATAACTTCACAACATTGCTTATAGCAGGTAAAAATCCTACTGATACATTGAATTAATTAGAGGTCTTGTCTCTGTCACTGTCTTGATAAGGCTTCAGCAAAGTCTTGGTGCAGCTGGACTGTCTCCCCCATCACTCCCTCTCTTAGTTTAAAGAGGTCTCAGCTTCTGATCAAGTTTTCTCCCTTTTTTCTCCCTTCCTGGAAGGTGATTAGACTGAGTCATGATGTTTGAAGGGAGGTTTAACAATGTGGGCATAACTAATTGATACATTTGCCAAAGTAGTAAAATAGAGTAAAATGGTAGTAACTGATGATTGCATTTCTTATTTGATCAATAGAACCTGACCAGTTTCTACAGTTAATTTATAACAAAAGTATAAAAGATAATAACTATTTTATCACACTTTGTACATGTAATCTCTGAGCACTGGGCCTGTGCAAATAGGGCAGTATTCGATTTGGATTTGGCCAATTCAGAGGACAGTGATTCAATTCAGAGATTTGGATCACTGCCCTTAATCGATTCGGCTGAATTGGTTTCGGAAGATTTGGCGCTGATTTGGAGAGATTCAGTGATTCGCATCGGCCAAGGAGAGTCAGGGACAGCCAGGCAGCTGCAGGTTCTCCTGCAGCTCCTCCAGTTGTGCCTGCCTCTCCCTGGGTGGGGGGAGTCACGGGAGAACGCCCCCATGGTTGCCCTGCCCGGCCCCAGCCTAATCCTGGCACTTAAAAAAGCCCCGCACTCACCAGCTGTAGCAGCAATGATTGGGGCCTCAGGGTGCCTGTGCCAGAGCCCCACTGGGCAGTGTGGATCGCCCCCTCCCTCTCACTTGGCACTCGCGCAGCAGCTGTTGCATGGTGTGGGTGCAGTGCGGCTCAGCAGGGCATCGCGTGCTGCCTGGGAGCTGAGGCCGTTGGGGCTGAGCGGTGCCTGGCTCGGGCTGACACAGAGCCACCCCAGCTCCCAGTTGCGCTGCACCTGCGCCATGGGGCAGCTGCCACACGGGTGTCAGGTGTGGGGGGTAATCCCTGTGCCTCCACTGCCCCATGCTGCACGGGGGGGCTCTGCCACGAATGTCCAGAGGTCCTAATCACCACTGCAGCATTCAATGAGTGTGGGGCTTTCTTTTTTTTTTCTTTTTCAAAAGTGCCGAGAGGCTGGGGCTGGGCCAGGCAGTCATGGGGGCTTCTCCCACAGCTACTTTGGCTGTGCCTGCCTCTGCCCTGGTGGGGGGAGCCGCAGGGGCTCTGCCCTTCTGCTGCTTGCCTAGTTGGTGTGGGCGGGTGGGGGAGGATGGGAGCGTGATGGCAGGCATGACTTGCTCTGGCCAGCAGCAGAACATAGACCCCACTCCTAGTGGCTGCATTAGCACTGGGAGCAGGAACTCTGCCCTGCCGCTGCTTGCCAGCTGGTGCAGGAGTGCAGGATGAGGGTGTGACAGTGCTGGGAGCAGGGACTTCTTGCCCCCTTCTGCTTGGAGCGAGCTGTGCCCGCATCCTGCCCCCACCCCAGCTGGGCAAGCGGCAGCAGGGCTGCGGGCCTGCTCCCAGCGCTGTTGTGTCTCCATCCCACGTCCCCTGCCCTGCTTCCTGAGTAATGCACCCCCCGCCCCGGCTGGGCAGCTTCTCCCAGCCCCAATCCCTCCCTCCCTCATGCCCCTTCTTTCCCCACTTCCCCAACCCCAACAGACTTACCAGCTGGAGGCAGCTGTGTCAGCTGCCTGTTTAGTCTATGGCTGAATCTCCGAAGTGGCCCAATCTCTTCTGAAGCTTTTCTGAATCTATTTGGATGCTTCGAATCAATTCGGAGCTTCTAACTGGTCTCTCGATTCGATTGAGATTTGGAGATTTGGTCCCCGAATCAGGCCGAATCTCCTCTGAATTGAACCAGCTACCAAAGCTTTGCACAGCCCTACTGAGCACCTCCCCTCTTCCAGTTTGTTTGATAAGTCAGCTGACAGTGATTAAAGGCTCTCTAGTTATAGTCACTATGTGAGTTCTTTAAGCTTAATAAGTATTGTGTGTAGCAGACCGGGAATGAAACTGAACTGCAATATTGGGGTCCAGTCACTAGCAACATGATAATTTCATAATATTTAACATTATAATTAACATAATATCATTAAATGAATGGATTGTATGAATGGAAAAACTAAAATTCTTGGCTTTTCAGAGAAATAACTAAGCCTCTAAATCCTGTAGGTAGCAGTCTCTCCTGTCAAAATGAAGTCTTGTTAAAACCATGTGTGTTCTGAATAGGTATAGGGACCTCTTCAGGAAATAGTTGTGGCACTGGGGCCCAAGTGAAACATATTATTATAAGTCAGTAACTCCCAGATTGTACAGATTCCTTGTTCTTTAACAAAAGGAAAGCTCTAAATTTTAAGTGGGAAACTCTAAACTGCAGTAAAAGGAATATAAAATACATGAACAAAATAGTGTCTTGAATAAGTAAATGTCATTGGTTTGATAGAAAAATGACTTAATGGAAGCTTTCAGTTCTGAAAATATTTTAATATACACTACAGATACACGGCAGAAAGACTTTGCCATAGCATGGAACGTATGGTTAATCTTTCATAACATAAATATTAAAAAATATCTGATTAAAACAAAATTAGCATCACCCCTATAGAACCTGGGTCTGAAAAAGGATTAAGGATTTAGAAATTTCCCATCAGAACAGATTTTAAATAAATCTAAGACTCTTTCTGAAATGGAGGAGGTCTAACAAAAATATTAGTGATTCCAATGAAAACAGGATTGATCTTTTCACAAATTAGAGTTTTTAAAGATTATTACTAGATGCATCTTAAAACAGTGAAGAACATATACAGCAGACTTTTTTTTTGCTCATAGCCTATATCAGCCACAGGGAGTCTCATGGATGGACTTCCTGAATCAATTGTAGACAACCAATTAATATTTTAGCTAACTAGGGGCCGTGCTCTTCTTGACCTGCTGCTCACAAATAGGGAAGAATTGGTGGGAGATGTAGTAGTGGATGGCAACTGGGGCAGGAGTGACCATTAGATGATTGAGTTCAGGATCCTGAGGAAAGGAAAGAAGTATTGCTGCAGAATATGGACTCTGGACTTCAGAAAGGTAGACTTTGACTCACTCAGGGAAGGTCAGGATCTCCTTGGAGATCAGTCTGAGAGGGAAAGGAATCCAGGAGAGCTGGCTTTACTTTAAAGAAACCTTATGTAGGGTGCCAGGGAGAAACCATCCTGATGTGCAGGTAGACTAGCAAGCATGGCAGAATACCAGCTTGGCTTAGAAGGGGACTCTTCAGTGAGCTAAAACACAAAAAGGAAGCTTACAAGAAGTGGAAACTTTAAGAAGGGGATGAAGAAGGGAACTACAGTCACTGGAAAAATCATGGAGCCAAGTCCACTTTTAAAGGAATCCACTTTTAAGCACTTGAAAGAGGAGAAGGTGATTAAGATCAGTCAGCATGGATTTACCAATGGCAAGTCATACCTGATCAACCTGATTGCTTTCTATGATCAGATGAGTAGGTCTGTGGATGTGGAAAGAGCAGTGGACTTGATATTCCTTGACTTTGGCAAGGCTTTTGACATGGTCTGCCGCAATATTCTTGCAAACAAGCTAAGAAAGTACAGGTTGGATGAATGGACTGTAAGGTGGATAGAACACTGTCTGGGTCATTGGGCTCAGAGAGTAGTAGTCAATGGTTTGATGTCTAGTTGTCATCCCCCAGGGTTGGGTCCTGGAGCCATTTTTGTTCAATATCTTCATCAGTGACCTGGAAGATGGGATGGGGTGCACCCTCAGCAAGTTTATGGATGACAACAAGCTGGGGGGAGTAGTGGATACGCTGGAGGTTAGGGCTAGGATTCAGAGAGACTTTGACAGTTTGGAGGTTTGGGCCAAAAGAAATCTCATGAGGCTCAATAAGGACAAGTGCCAAGTCCTGCATTTAGGATGGAACAATCCCATGCACCGGTATAGGCTGGGGGCTGTTTGGCTAAGCAGCGGCTCTGCAGAAAGGGAAGGGAAGTTTAGGTTAGATGTTAGGAAAACTTTTCCACAGGTAGGTAAAGCACTAGAACAGAGAGGTGGTAGAATCTTCATCCTTGGAGGTTTTTAAGACTCGGCTAGACAAATGAAATTATATAGTTGGGAATGGTCCTGCTTTGAGCAGGGAGCTAGACTAGATAAGACTGATAAATTGAACTTTTTAAGACTCATAAATATTCTAATAGTCAGTTTTAAATATTTTTTGCATTGATATATTCTAAAGAAATCACTATCTGAAAGTTATAAACAGAATGGAGTCCTGAGAAGATTTGTGTCTGTGGGATTCTGCATTTTCTTAAAATGTGCATCCCTGAGGGAGTTGCATGCATAAAGGTCAGAGATTCCTGAGTTCTAAGAGGCACAGTATAAGCGTGTGTGTGTATATGTGTGTGTGCGTGAATAAATTTTTGATAGAAGGATTTTATAGCTGTAAATGATGCGAGGGACGTTGAACTTTAAGTCTGTCTTGATATATGTGGCCTATCTGTTCAGATATAAATATTCCCACAATGTTAGCCTGACTTAGTATATATTTTCATTATAATTTGGAAAAACCAACAGAAATCAAATTCTTATTTTTTTTCCTTTTCAGGATGCAAAGATCGATCCAGAAGAATTTACAGGCCGCCTTCAGTCAGAGCTCAAATCATCCCCTCAACCATATCTGGTACCTTTCCTTAAGGTAAAACAGATACTATTTAGATGCTAAACTTATCTACAGAGCAAACTTTGCTGCTTTAGGTTTCAGAAATCTTAGAATATACAAACTAATAATATGATATTAGCTTCTACTGCTCAGAACATGTCATTAGTCAAAATTACAAAATTATTATGAACTCTCATTTAGAAATGTAGGTATTGTATATGATTGGTAGGTATTTTACTGCACACACAAAGCTGTCACAGCTTTCATATTTACCCCTTCCCCAACATGTAACCTGTTAGATTGTTAGGGTATAATTCTCCCCATGTTTACCTTCCATCTCCTTTTCCTTGCTTCTTTATCATCTCTTTTTTCCGTATCTAAGATGCCATTAAGTCTTTCTTTTTTCTTTCCTGCATTCCCCCTTCAGCCAAATCTAGCATAAAGTATTTAAGTTTAAACTTCTTTACTGTCTTCAAAATTATTTAATTATGTAATAAGTTAACTTTTAAAATAATAATATGAGTTTAAAAGTGACTTTGGTTTACTTAGATTTAATACTTTAGAAGCCTGCAGCACTACTTCAAAGATGTGCTCTTTTAGAACTCTATTTTTTGGATGACCTGGTCTGAACATGAAGCACCTAATAGTGCTGCCTTCTAATCCTACCAAAATACAATTGGATCAGTAATAATTTGGTACCATACTACTCTAAGGCACCAACAATTACATCTAGCTCTGGATATTAGAGGCATATGGGGAGAAGTAACTTACTGCAGCCCTTGAAAAGTACAGCTTACGTCTGACAGCATGTATTGGGAGTGGAACTTATCCCTGCTGTTCTTCTTTCTTCCCGCCCATTTTTTTGTTCTTCATAGGACTAGCCGCACAGTTCCAGGTCATCCTAATGTAATGGTATACTCCCTTGTGTTGTGGCAGTAGGGCAGATCACAATATGGTCCACAGTGGTGACCAAATTCAGTATAAATAATAGGTATGAAATACAAGCTGAATTTTCCTTCTTACAAAATATAAAGATGTCAAAATGTACAATTTAATTTCTTCTGAAACAGTATATAGCTTGTAGAACCAAATTTAATCATTTAAATTTTCTAACGCATGTTAATGCATTTTAGAAGCAGAATTTTTTGATGGTTAAATAAATGTGTGATTGTTTCCTTTTCTTCTTCTTCTTCTTCTTTTTTGATTTTTTTTTTCCTTTTTTAGAAAAGTCTACCTGCACTGAGACAATCTTTACTGAACAGTCAGCATTCAGTTTTGCAAGGACAGCCGTCTCAGCAGCCACTTCAACAAACTAAGCTATCACAAATTATACCTCAGTCTGCCTCTGGAAGCATTTCCTCTGTTGTTGCGACACAGACAATAGGAATAAGGCAACCAAACAACATTTGCACAGTCTCTGTATCAAATACAGTGCAGCCTCCTCAGGTTAAGGTGGTACAGTCAAATCAGAGTTCTCAACTGGTAGGTACTATAAGGAGAACTTTTAAGAAAAATAGTGGTTTTAGGGTTACTTTTTATTCCTGTTATTATATTTAATTGGGAAATACTTCCATTCTTCCATATTGTGCCTTTTTTATGCTATTTCTTAGGTCACACATTTGCAAAAATGTAGCATGCTGCCTTTGTGCACTGTGAGTAGTCGTGTTAATTTAAATGAAACAGCTAACCCTATGGAAAGCTGAAGATATATGTATGAGTCTTTGTTGGAGCAGGGTCTCTGTTTCTGGGATGATGTTATATGATTAAGTTTCATATAACATTCTCTCATATATGATATCATAGAGTTTTTTTATATAATAATCACAGCATTTAACAAAGAGTTTTTAAGACATGAAGGAATTTTAATACGATTATACTATCCTTGTTAAATTATACTACTTTGATTAGATTTTAATTTGAATTAAAATGAGATATTCTGTTTTCTTAAAGTCTTCTATACATTATTAAATAGAAAATTAGAAGAAAAAAGATCTATGGTAGCAACCAGCTTGGTCTAGCAGCTATACCAATTCTTTTATTTGCTAAATTTTGCCCTAATTATGCCACACTTCCATGCATTAACTAGTACCTTGCTCTCTGAATAAACCCCACTGATTTCAGTGGGACTACTTAGGTAGATACTGAGATACTTGACCTTGGCTTTTATAATACACAAGATATATGTGGATGTGATCTTGCACCTGGACTTGGCTGCTCTTGTCCTCTCTGTCCAGCCATGTGAATTCCTTCTTCTTTCATAAGGAAAAACTTATTCTGGAATATTATTTTATTTAGAACAAGAAAGGTACCAAAATATCCTTAGAGCTCACTTGTTCTGATGCTTGTAAGGTTTATGGCTGTTTTGGAAATGAAATTCCCAAAATGGAATAAGACAAAATCAAAATCCTGCCATCTCCCTTCATTCATCTGTTTACTGCTTTTCCCCCAGTGGTGCAAGCACACGTGTATGGAGAGTGGCACTATGAGTATGTGCTTGGTCATCTGTTAACTTATTCTATATGTACAACTTCAGAAATACCATAGGTGACAGTTTAAAAAGTAATGTATTTTAGATTTGGTCAGATGTTTGTTTCTCCAGTGAAAAGGTGTTATATTTAAGGGTGTATTTGAACCTGAAAAGGATAAATGAAATGTCTGCTGTAGTTTCACAATGCAGCAGGTTGTCTCTCATATAACTTGATCAAAAAATGTGTTTAAAGACTGTTACATGAGGGAAATATAGATAAACAATTATAGCAAAAATTATATAAAAACAAATTCTCACAGGAAGAGGAAGTGCTGTGACAAACAGAAAAACTTCCTGTGCTTGTTTTTATTTATTGATGGTATGACTGATTAACAGATCTAAAATTAAGGTTAACCAAAGCCTTGTTACATCCCCCAGGACTGTATTGTAAGTCAACAGTCAGCATCTGATAACAGTTATCACATAGTGTTGTTAAAAAATACCATAACCTTGCATGTTATTGTGGTAAATGCCGTGGCATTTTAGACTTCACTAGATTTGTCTATACATGCAATTAATGCAAAGCAATAAACTCCAGAGCTTAATGCCCCAGAGATTATTGCTCCTGGGCGCACCTTTTGAACGTGAGCCTAGGACCGCAGCACCCTGAGCTGGGGCAGAGTAGCCCCAGCTGGCAGAGGGACATGGGGGTCAGCCTGTCAGCCTGGGGCTGCTTCCCCCGCTCCCCCCCCCATCAACATGCTGTGGAGGGGCTGGCTGGGGGATGAGGGTGCTCTAGTGCGGGGCTAGGCAGTATAGGCGGCCCCCATGTTGAAGCACTCTCATGCCCCAGCAATCCTCTTCAGTGTCTATATGTACGTTGATACAGAATAAAAAGCTCTATGGCAGGATAATACTTGTATATCAAGTATATACAAGTACTATCCTGCTGCAGAGTTAATTAGTTCACTCCAGCCTAATTGGCCTGCAAGTATAGATGCCGAGACATTTACTGTGGAGCTAATTCATCAACTTCGCAATAAATCTCTTGTATAGACAGGCCCACTGTGTGGTAACTGTTCATAAATATTGACTTTTTAGTGGTGACCACTGTGTGCTGCGCACACATAACAATATCTAGTTTTCCCAAATCTAGAGCACAGGAAAGAGCTACTGTCCAGCAGAAAAAGATTACAGCTGGCTTGCCTAGGGGTAGTCAGCACTGATGGAGAAATCTGGCAGGGCTCCAGAATCTCCAACCCTGAAGCTCACTGAAAGAGAATTCCAGCTGGCTTTGCAGACTGTCCGGTTTTAAAGAGGCAAGGCCACTTGGAGTATAGCCCCTTTAAGCCAGCCTATCTACAGGGGCATTTAGGTTTTTCTAAAATGGAATGAACTAGTCAGTTGATTTTTCTAATTTTACAAAGGATTCAGTATTTGACACATCTTCTGAAAACTTTGGCCAGTCAGAGATGTAGTGGGTGTTAATTTGATCATGTAGATATTCAGGACACTCCAACTCCAGGCTTAATATTGCATCTCTTCATTTACAGTGTAGGCTTTTCAGAAGTTCTGCATTAGCTAAAGGCTTCTCCTGTAAAAGTCGATGGTAAAACTGTCAGGTTCAGCAGCAGCTGGGTTTGGCCTATGCCCGCTGCTTTGGAAAACCTGTCTCAGAAACTCTTCTTGTTTGCTTCTTTATAGTATCTCATAAATTTCCCCTCAAGTTGCACTCATATCAGAATCATAGAACACTAATGTTACTGTTTTCTAAATAAAAAAAAAAAACCCCAACAAAAAACGGTGGTTGCTGTGAAACTGAAGTGAGATTGGTATTATTTTGATGGCAAAGAATTTGTATTTATCTTTGACCATGCAGAATTGTGGTACATGATTAGAAATGTCAGTAGGAGGCAGGAAGACTAGTTTTAGAATTGAATAATTGAATGATGCATCAAAGAGTTTGTAATATTTACTTATTTTATAATGTGTATTAACCACAGTGAAAAATACTGTGAAGAGCTAGGTGATGTAGTAGTATCACTGTTAGTTACTGCTGGTAATTAAGTTAGATGGAATCTTAGATTATAGAAGATTTGTCTATATATAGAAAAATTATGAATGAGAAGCTAACTAGATAAGCCAAAAAACAATTTATATGTCTATATATACTTGTCCAAAGTCACACTGTTTAGCATTTTGGAGGAAATTGTGAATTCCTTATGACAGGAGCTGTGTATTCATGTGTATAGTCATTACCTATTTTTTTATGGGTATCACAAGTAAATTTTAATAGAACTATGAATCGAACAAAGTTGGCAGTTTTCTTGTTTGTTTAATCTGTTGCAATTGTACATAGTAAGTCTAGCATTGATAAACCAGATGTATTAGATGTTGTATTACGCATTATGTTCTGATTTAAGAATGATCTGTCCCATCAAAGTATGTTTGTATGACTTTTTTTTTCCTGTGGCACAAATCTGGCAATCAAATTCATTTTTCCCCTTTGGATTTGGTTAATCTGGGGCATAAGCACATTCCTCATATTTATCTCTTGCATTAATTTGACCTTCCCTGTGAAGCTCATAAAAGAGGATGATAAGAGGAGATATTGCTATATGAGAAGAAAGTGTAGTTGGGAATGTTGCTGGTTCTGAGATTTGACAGCAAACCTGAATAACTATAATAGGAATGTTAGTTTAAAAGTACTGTATTTACTCAATTACAAGACTAGATTTTTCCCCCCCCCAGTTGGCATGGGGAAAAAGGCCCCCTTGTCTTATAATCACAAACAATTAAATCTCACTAAATACATTGTCTAGCATTAAGTTGCTGCCAAAAGTAGCATGTGCTCAGCAATGGAAACTAACTATCAAATACAGCCAACACTGAACATGACTATAAAATACATGGCCCACATAGGGCAAACATGTAGATGGGAACCTATCACAAGACTAGATTAATGTAACCCACCTGAATAACACATACGGTAGTGCTCATTAAGTGCAGTCCCCTCACTGCCAACTCTTTTTTCAGTCATAGTGATCTGCAGCATTGCATACAGTTGACCCAGAATCCCTCTGTCAGCCCTTCTTGCAGCCTGGTGCATATGATTAGTGTGGCTGTGCCCTCCATGAAGTGAAGCCAAAGCAGGTTCCCCTGCTCCTCATCTGCATATACATTTTTGGAGCATCTCCAGACTCATGACAAGAGCACCTGGTTCCAGTTGTGAGTAGGGGCTAATTAGCACATGGATTTTTTTGTGGTGGGGTATCTGGAGTACACACACATACTGAGCTGTGGGGTCACCATGGCTTGAAATGCTATTGACACTGCCGGGAACCAGCCCAATGAACTGTGTGGTAAATCACAAGCCTTTGGCTTTGAACCCACATAATTCGTAGTTTGTACTACATATAAGTAGGTGCCAAAGTACTGTTTCTAGAGTACCCATGCTAAAACTGGTAGCAATTAAAAAAAAAAAAAAAGAGGAAAAAAAAGGTAATATGCATCAATTCTGGATAAGCTAAGTGCATGGGTAGTATATGCAAATTTCTACAGCCATGTTTAATTTCAAGGCTGTTGTTTTTACATTTGCTCCTTACTTCCATATGCTTAGGGACAGCAGGGTCTGACAGTAAGGAGAGTGGGAAGGGGCTTCCAGGAGAAAAAAATTGGGGGGAAACATAAAGCAATGGGCTACCTGACCCCCCCTTCCCCCAGATCTATTTTCCCTGCTGTAGCAGTGGGAGGGAAACAGATTCAAGGCTAACCTCCAATAATATTCTATACCTGGAAAAAAATAACAAATTTAATTTTTTCATATGGAGAATCTAATTATTGAGAGGTGGTCTTATCATCAGGATATTCTTCTATTTGAGTAAATACGGTACTCTTAGTAAAATTCTAGATTTATAAAAAGAAATAAAAACCCGTTATTTTTGTTGCAGGTCTGTCATTAAGAAATGTATATTTATGGAACATTGCATGTTATGGAATTGGTGTATGATGTTCG